CATTGGATTTCATTTTACGAAGGTTTCATAGCTATATTATCGCCTATAGAGTGGACACTACCCGGAATACTATCCACTTCTGCAACTAATTAGTGAAACAAATTTGACAGGCTCGTTTGTGTAATGGTAGCAAATAGCAATGTAGGTAATTAACGATCGTGGGTTCGATTTCCAACGGCTCTATTTTCTAATCATAAGTTGGACTTAATTTGGAAATCTGGTTATTGAATAGGTGATAGGAATATTGACATTCCTTCCAGGTCACGACCCACCTTCCACAGATGAAAAAGCCGTTTAGTTTAATGCTTGTCTGTCCTGCATTGTGTTAAGATGTTCTAGGTTTGAATCCCAGAGAAACAAAAAAATTTTTTTGGTAAGAGCACCGGCGTCTGATCTTCTACTTACCTTTAAAAGAACCGATCAGCGAATGGGACACAGATATGTGTTCGCCCCATACCCCAAAAATTTTTAGCGGTTCAAAACTTCAATAACTACTTGCGTAAAATACAAACATTTGTTTTATTTTTAATAACAAATGGACAAAGCGTTGTGAATTAATGTTAGCCAGCTATAAATGTATCTCAAATAATCACTATTTTATTCTTCATATACTTATGTTGGTGTCTCGTGTTGGCATTCATCTGAACGTGGTACTGCATCAGCCCATCATAAATCGGCTTGCGACCCACGCAGGTGACTTGGGGCTAACGGTCGACCTTGCGCCACCCCCCACCTTCCTCGTATCTTACCGGAATATTTAGAGATATGCAAAAGATATGTTCTGGGACATATTTATACAATTAAGTATGAGTTAAGTTAAGGGGATTAGGCTCTTATCCTTATTTAAAATAATAAAAAAAGCTCTATATTGAATAACACGTTAACCTACATTTAAATAAGTCAGTTTTTTTTGAAGCGCGAAGAGACAGACAAACAGACAATTTTTTAAAAGTCATTAGTTTTAACTACATCTACAGACGCTATGCTAGTATGCTAATAATGCTAGAAATATTGTAGCTTACGCGATTAATACACATTTAATTAAACACCTTTAACGGTTAAAAACGCGAAATATTATATACGTTTTATTTCAAATACGGCCCGACGTTTCGGATGCTGTCCAGCAGATGTGGTCACGTTTAAATTGAGGTATACTTATTTATTTGTCATTATTTACGTAAGTCAAACTAAAATGTTATCAAGTATCTTAAACATTGTTTTAAAGTAGAAATATCTCTGTCGGGACAGGCATACATTAAAAAGATGCTTTAATAGGTAAAGATATTGTTCTATCTACAGAAATAGCAATTTGTTGGCTGTTGCTGTTGGCGAAAAGTAATTGTGCAAATTCCTCTTAAATGTGACGTGTTTGAGTCATGCGTACTTCTCGGTAATTTTAGTCACAAAACTGCATTATTGCAACACCATTTAGGAAATCTTCGTTTAGAAATAAGACAATATACAGACAATATTTAGTGTAAGTTGATGAACTAAATATTGTCTGTAATTCCCCGCGGGACCACGGCTCCTTCTGTTAAAGTGCTTTATTTCGATAACCCTAGGGTTTTCGAAGTTTACAAATTATGTTTCTTTTTAAATTTTAAGAATGATTTAAGAGGTTGTATTACATTGTAGAAGAATTATTCCCATAGAACATCTTAACAAGAATCTCTCCAACAAATATTGGCTTTAGATCTTCGGAAATCCACAGACAGAGACAGAAACGTGAAACATCGAGGCTTTTTCATTTGTGGAATTTATTTCGTAATCGAACCCAGGACCCGTTGATTATTAGCTTTAATACACTGTGCTTGTATTTAACAATGATTCACAAAAGCAGTCATGTAATATATTTTAGAAGTTGCCTAAAATTATTGTTCGTTTCATATCATTTTGTATTGAAATCAAAAAACACCGAAATTTCAATAGGGAGGACGGCCTCAAATTATCAAACACCTGGGATCCCATATTAAAAACTCTGGATCCCAATAAACAGCATACCGGCAAACGCGAAGACACCGTTAGTCAAATACCAACTTCGACGGAACAGATGGCGTTAGCGTAGCAACTTTGACGTCAGAGACATCCTCCATCTTTAGTCTCCCCGTGACCACGGCTGCTGCAAAACATCCGAAAAGTCGGGCCGAAGTTAAAAATCATTTTCAAATAAGTTTAACTAATATATTATATATCGCGTTTTAAATCGTTTTGCTTAAAAAAAGTGTTTTATTTAAATGTGTACTACTCGCGTAAACTAGACTGTATTACATACAGTATGTAGTTGTAACAGCATCATTGCGGTCAAGTTAACGGTGCTGCAGGCAGCACAACTAATAAACGTGTGATTTTATCGCTTCTAATCTTGGAAAACAACTGAATATTATATAATACACACTTTGTAGGAAAATAGAAAATCCTCTATAATATATATTTACGGTTAGGTATAGTCTGTAGTTTAGGTAGACTAGTAGACATTTAAATAAAAAACACTTTTTAACGATTGTATAACGCGAAATTTGTTACTAACTACGCAATTAATGCAATTCGCGTTTTAAACCAATAAAAATTGTTTTATTTAAATAACTAGTAATGCAATATATGTAAGTGAACATTATTTAATAATTGTATGTGGCATTTGTTATGTTATTTTTACGTATAAAGTTTACCTATTACAGATAAAAATAAAGGCTTAACGAGTTATGAAGTGCGACAGGAGGTTTTCTTTTTGCTTTGAAGCGATGTCTCTTCTTTTTACTAGTTACAGAGCCTCACTAGCAACAGCAAATATTATTGTTATTGTGTAGTATTGTTATTTGTGTTATAGAAAAATACACCTTAAAACATTCAGCGTAATCAATGTTATCCATGCCTATAATAAATAAGCTGACAGGCACCGTCATTTGCAAGATTAATATGTCATATATGTTAATACAACTAACAAATAACTGGTATTACCTTCGGCCAAATTTGATTACTATAAAAACGGTTCATCAAAGATAGAGGATAGAGTGTCGCGGAAAACATTTTTAAACATTTAAATTGATTATATTTTATAAATATATTTCGGTTTCTTGGAATATATATTTTTTCCGTTTTCCCACTGTTTCTTCGCCCCTATTGATCGCAGCGTAATATTATATAGCTTAAAGCTTAAAATATTTCTTCAATTCGAGCCAGTAGTTCCTGAGATTAGCGCGTTCAAACAAACAAATTCTTCAGCTATATAATATTAGTATAGAAACAGTCATTCTTTTAATAAGTGCTGTAATCACGTATTTAACTTCTCTGTACTGAAATAAATACATAGAGATCTTTAAAAGTAGCAGGTACAAGTTGAAAGCAGAACTTTCACCCAATAACTAGTTTAAGCTCAACCGGCTTAAGAAAGCTGTGTTTGCTTTGTGCCTAGGCTTTCTATGATCTAGATAACCTTAACCACTGCCATGATGTATCAGCGTTTTATCATTACATGTGGAAATAGAATTTGTAGTAACTAAATTCAAAACATCAAAAGAGGAGATAATATTATATGAAAAATTTACTCACATATAATACTCGTATAAAAGATATATTTTTATTTTATTTAGGTTTACCAACGTTACATTATAATCATAAATGCTTCAATTATTAGTAATTTTTAAAATAAAAAGATGACTGTAATAAAACAATTAAAGGTAAACACCACTTGTTGTTACAAAGTACATAATACGTTATGACTACTACTACTACTAGTACTATAATACTAAACTAAAACACCAAAATATTCAATTCAACTTTAAAATTATAATATTATAATGATTACAAGTATGTAGTTAGTATAACACATACTTGTGTTATAAATGAAAGACTTCTTGATTTTGACTTAATGAAAAAATTCTGGTGGAATATTCGCAACCTACTGAATTTTTCAAATTTTATAAATATCGGTCGAGCCGTATTTTATGATTATAGTAAATAACAATGCGCCACATTAATTTTATATAGTACGCTAAATAGGTCTATAAATATACCTATGATTAACAAAAGGAGGTCTGTGATTGTCAAAACTTGATACATCATAATTTAATTAATAAAAAAAATATATTATACAATTTGAAAAGTTACTTTTCAAATTAACATATTTGGTTAGGTTGCTTCACTATTTCAAAAAGCCTTCAACAATCTATTTTTAGACTATAAAATTCCAGACGGTAAATAGAAACATGCAGTAAATAAAATAGGTCGACAGGGCATCAGTGATTGATGTCGCATGTCTGCGTTATTACACCTATCATCAATTTAGTATACGTTCACCTCACGATCGTTTGTCAGGTTTAAAAACAAACTGTATCCATACTATCTACATTATGTTGCTAATACTTGAAAATTACGTTACAGTATGCATTGCAAGTGATTAAGTATTTAGTAATATTCTTTGATTGGGAAGATTTTAAGATACTTACTACTTTTGTCAGGAGGGAAAAGCTAGTGGAAATAACCCATGTACCCAATCACATATTATAACGACCATCGATGTTTTAACTGAATTTTAAAAAATCTATTTGCGTTTATAATGATGATAATGAATTTGCTCATTTACTTTTCCACGTCTGCCTAAGAAGTGGAAGCTACCTGCTTCCCTACAGAAAGAGATGAGACTAACAACCACAGATGTGAACTACGTGCAAAAACATACGAAGTAACGACCTTCTTTTGTTTATAAAGACAAGAAAGATCATAAAACACAAACATCAAGACCGCGCTAAACCAAACAAATCCTTGACATTGTGTTTCGAAAATCGCTGTTACATTTATTTTTCGAGCATTCGTTAACACTCCAAAATGTTTATTCAACTACAGTACAGATAACTCGTCTAGTTGTCTTGTAATTGTTGCTCTTTATCTCGCTGACGGTGATGTCACCTCCATTCTAAATATAGAAAACTAAGCCCAAAGGGTTAGCGAACAGCCGGCAACATAACCTCCAAATCTATAGAAAAAATGCATGGCGTGAGCTCTGAATGCCGTTGGACCGGCTGCCGGCGGTACCTACTGAGCCAGTAATATTTCAACCGCGGCTGGAGGCTCCCGCACGCCGGCACCCGCAACGCTACGACATTCTTCTCGTCGCCGATAACTTATCAAATAATTGCATGAAGTCATCGATTAAATTAAGTGTTGATTATTCGTTTACTTATGAGTTTCTCGCGCGTCCGCCGTCCATGTGCATGAATCCACAGGTGTCCGTGAAAAGTTTTGTGCGATCCGATTGCTTGAATTTTGTTCTGTCGTGTCAAGGATGAATGGGACACCAGCTAGACGGCCGAAGAGTGCCTTCTCTGAAGCGGTGAGTTGTTTTTTTTTGAGATATGTAAGAATCTAATCAGTATTATCATTACATCACGATCGGCCTTGACTTTACGTAGATAACAATTTTACGGTGTTATTCTTATTTTAAAAATGTTGTGAAGTGTTACTTAGCTAATAAGTAACTTTCTTACAGTTTGTTAGTGGTAATATAGCTTAAAAACTTTTTTATTGTTTCACGATAAATACAGTTATGTTTACATACGTATTGTATATACATTTTCAAGTAGTGCCTTAGTTTACAAGTTGTGTTTTACATAAGCTGTGACAAGGAAAATATAATATTCGACGAATATATTGTTTTTGCATAAAAACTATTATAAAAAGTTTGAATACCTCTGGGCTATTTAAGTGAAGCGAAAGGGGATCGTGCGACAAGGACAGGTGCTAGAGTTTTGACCGCGTGAAATGTACAGTGGCTGGCGATAAATAAATATTATTAATATGTACTTGCATTTTGTAGCTGTGTATAAGTAAGTGGCTTTAATGTAACAATTGTTCGAGTACGTGACGTGCTTACGAAATAAAGCGGGATAATTTATTTATGCAATGAAAATACGTATGCATTTTTACATCTTTATTTTCCGTTTCGTTTTTGCGAACATTATGTTTTATTATGTGGACTAAAAACAATACTACTACTATACATTGGGATATCAGAACTACATGATCCTCTCGCTATGGTATTCTTTTTAATTCCAGGCGAAAAAAAACTTAATAACAACGTAAGAAATATCTTTTTCTTCGCTTCTTCTCACAAATTTAACCCAAATTTTAAACTTACATATTATCAAAACCATTCCTGCCTTGCTAACAGAGACTGCAATAAATAAATATTTAACAAACTTTTTATTAAAAATGTTCATATATTAAAAAATAGCAAATTAATTTACTTCAATCATACTTACGATAAATGGTAACTACTTAATTGAACTTATGTTAACTTAACTCTTGTTCAACAAACTTAAAAATGAATAAGCATGTATATTTTTAATTCCGTCGATGCATACTAAATGACTTCATTTACACTTAAGTGAATGAAAATAAAAATTCAAATCTAACTCGGCGAGAGTCATAAAAACTTGCTTATTTTAATTATAACTGGAACCGAAGTGAATAACCTCTTACGCGCAGTTGAACTACAATCGTGAGGTAAATACATTTCTCCTTATCAATGCGATAAAATAATTCAATATAGAACCGCGTAATTGCCTCGTGGTCCAATGGTAGCAATGCGTATAAAATCAACGGGTCGTGGGTTCGATTCTCCAACATATTCTAAGAACAATGTATGTTATTACTTATTGTATCCACTTTGTGTGTTTAAGCTTTATAAAAACAGTAATCTAAATACTGTTATATTTACCAGTATACACATTTAAATAAAACACTTTAACGGTTTAAAACCGCGATATATTAGTTAAACTTATTTGAAAATGATTTTTACATCATAAATTATGCCTCAAATGTTAATAATAAAAAGTATAAACTTTATTTATAAGGAGGAAGATTACTGTTTAAATAAAACACTTTAACGGTTTAAAACGCGATATATTAGTTAAACTTATTTGAAAATGATTTTTAACTTCGGCCCCGACGTTTCGGATACTTTGCAGCAGCCATGAGCCCCCTCCCCCCCGTGACCGAAGTTAAAAATCATTTTCAAATAAGTTTAACTAATATATCGCGTTTTAAACAGTACCTACCTCCTTATAAATAAAGTTTATACTTTTTTATTATGTTAACATTTGAGGCATAATTTATGATGTAAGAGTAAAGACACATTTTTATTATTTCTTAGGATATATTCTAGTTAAAATTAATTTATATAAACTGAATTTTAAAATCAGCCAACCAGTGTTGAGTTAAGTGTTAAGCGTTTAGTATTATAATTATTCATTGTTATAAAATTTCAGTCAAATTGCACTTCAATAGCTATTGTCAATTGTCTCTCCAAATATTCAGTGCTCGTGTTTACATTCTGTTCTACTGAATAAATATCGAAAATAACAAGATACTGTAGTCTGTATCAAATATCAATAGGGTATGAATATTGTTATATCATTGCCGGGGGAGGTATTTTATTTACATACGTAGAGTTCAAACATATATTTAATATCACCTACTTACAAATAAGAACGATAATTAAACGATATAAAAGCCATCTATTAGAGGATTAATTTTTAACGATCCGACGTTTTGGGACCCTTTTTAGCAGCCACGTACTCGAGTCTTAGTGAATCATTTCACTAATATATACCAAAAACTTAGTTAGGACATTACACCTCAATCGCAGATAAGAAACGGTGGCCGTAGTTGAAATAAATCGAAAATAAGTTATATTTTTTCGCGTTTTAAACCGTTAAAAGAGTTTTATTTAAATGTGTACTGGCCGCGTAAACTACAGACAGCACTTAATTGTGAATAAATTAACCAATATATTTCGCGTTTTAAACCGTTAAAAGTGTGTTATTAGATACGGTATCTCGTTTGGTAGAGCAACATCAGCTGTTTATGTTCTACCCGTGCAATTAAAAATAAATAAATGATTATTTAAACGTTGATATTGTTATACAGAAATGTTCTGCATAAAAATTAGAAGAATACATAGAGAAGAGAAAGACAAACGTGCTTTCGTCATTCGTTACCAACCACTTCGTTACTCAGTTAATCGTTCGATAGCGTTTGCAAGATTTCAAAGTTTAATTGCTGAATCGTAAGTTCAATCTGGAATGGCAACTTATTCTCTCGGTTTAATCAAGCGATCTCAAGGAAGTGCAAGATCTGAATAATCATTGTTATATCAATCTGACAATTCTTTGAAGAATTTTAATTAACTGTGATAGATTAATACTCAGAAGAATCTTTGGCTCCGTTTGCGATGACGGTGTTTGCCGTGCTACGAAGAGCTATAAAGCATCTGTTTGGGCCATTCATGTGAGCAATGGAGGTAGTCATGTTTAATTATCAAAATCTTTATCCTACCCTACTTCATTGTTCGTGTAAGGGCAGCTTAACGGGTCGTGGGTCGATCCCCACCGGGTCCATAATTTTTTTTATCAATATATATTTCTTCTGAAACATGTTGGACTTTTGGAAATCTAGATATTAAATAGGTGATAAGAATATCGAAATTCCCTCCACTAATGAAAAAGAATTGAATTTGATACCGATACGCGATTAAATTTCACGGATTTTTTCACGGTCGGTGGTTTGTGCTTTTAGACCCAAGACCTCGTTGAGAAGCTCGTCCAAAAGTTCGTTTTAGGGACAAAATACAGACTATTTTGTGATATCGGTAGTGATATCACAAAAATATGTCAGTCTCCTGCCCCGTAAAAAGTATTCCAATGAATGTCGACTCGGCTAGTTAAAATATTTGTTTGTTTAATTACTTCCCCAATTCGCTGCGAATATTTCAGTGTAGCTCATCCTTTTAGCTTTATTAAATAAGCGAGTAGGCAATCAGAGCCTTCGGGATAAACCTTTTCTTCAATTAACCGTGTTCCGTCCGTTACCTTACAAGGTACGAACATTCTAATATAGACACTTAATCCGGACGCTACATTTTATATTATATGAAAAATTTAGGAATAAATAAGACCATAACTTTTTCACTAATAATGGCTTGTTGGTCGTCCTATATTAAGAAAATTATAGAAACTAGAGAATCCCAGGAAAACTTTTAAAAATAGTAAGGAAAAGTGTAAATGCGTTTGTAAGTTTTTTTTACTAATACACATTAATTTAAATAAAATACTTTAACGGTTTAAAACGCGATATATTAGTTAAACTTATTTGAAAATTATTTTTAACTTCGGTCACGGGGAGACCATGGCTGCTGCAAAGCATCCGAAACATTTTCAAAGAAGTTTAACTAATATATCGCGTTTTAAACCGTTAAAGTGTTTTATTTTAATGTGTACTACTCGCGTAAACTATAGACAGTATTCACTTTAATTCAATTACAGTACAGTTTACAGTAGTTACCTTGTCTTTGAACCTTATTTATTTACCCATTTCGATGAGAGATGTCTCTATAGAATTCGATAAGAACGCTCTACCCGTTGCGTAAAATTTTAAATAATTTTTAACCACAATGTCACCACAACCAAATTTCAAACTGCACAAAAAAGCAAAATTATAAATTTACTTTGCATTCAGTATTACATATTTTGATTCAGGTAAGAAGAAATTATTTTATTTTAAATTATTTTTCTGTTATATATGTATATAACCAAACGCATTGTTGTTGCATATACTTGTTGCGTTAGCTTGCGTTAACCCGTGCCGTGTTGCGTTCTTAAACCGTTTTCGCAGCGTACGCATCTGAAACCCATAGAGATGAATTTCCCCCTTTTTGTTCACATTTCTCGCTGTATCTTCGCTCCTATTAGTCACATCGCAATGTGTTATAGCCTATAACCTTCCTCGATGAATGCTCTAACCAACACAACAAGACTTTTTCAATTCGAATCCGTAGTTCCTGAGATAAGCGCTTTGAAACAAACAAACAAACTTTTCAGCTTTATATATGAGTATAGATTCTCTATTTAAGACTGCACAACGTACAGGATGTTGTCACATCGTCATAGTAACAATACCCAGTGTTGCCAACATATAACCGCAAACTAGCGACAGCAATGTCCACAAAAAATATTAGCTATGCAAACAAATTGATACTGTCTAAACATTGATATGGCCTGTTTGCACATCAAACGGATTGTGTGAACATTATTATAATGTTATCTGTGCGAGGTTTTGGAAAATCTATTTCCATTAATTTCACTTGAAAGACAAGCACAGGTCGGACGGCACACGCAAAAGATTTAAATACCATTGACTATGTATTAGTGTTGCCCAAACGCAAGAACAAGACGAGACTTAGCCAGTCTTGGTCTTGGTCTTGCGCCAATACACCTGGTCTTGGTCTTGG